TCACTTGACGCTGTCTTTCTTTGACACAACATTGTAGTGTCAAATAATTATCCGTCAAAGCAAAATATTTGTGCCAAATTTGTTAGATATGCATAACAGTATCAAATACAAAAGTAATTTAAAAATGAAAACAAATTCACCATAGAAATGTTACTATTATTGTCATCATCTTATTTGACACTGCAATGTGTGGTGTCAAATAATAGGTATCGAGAGGAATCAAACATCCGTTTGGTGGGGGAGGAGAGAGGGGGGAGGGGGTTTAATTGTTGACTTTTTGACACCGCAATGCAGTATCAAATATGAAATTTAAGTTTCAATTTAATTGGTGCCTTATTTCTTTGTGGAGAATTTTTGTTTCTTATTTGATACCACATAGGAATGTCATATATTTTTAAAAAAAAAATTCTAATTTTCTCCGTTATTATGCCTTTGTTTATAGGAAAAGATTTCAAATTTTACACCATAATTATTTAACACCATAGCTATGGAGTCTCTTTGTTTATAGTGTGGTGTCAAATAATTTTAAAAAACTTTGGAGTCTCTTTCATTGTGTTTTTATTTGCTGAAAATATTTAAAATTTTCTGCTTTAATTATTTGACATTGCAGGGCAATGTCAAATAATATGCTTCCTTATATACCTAACATTTCACTCACTTCCTCATTTCTCTCTTTTCTTTTCTCCTTCTCCTCCTCTTATCCAAATTCTCCTCTTTTCGTCTGTTCTTCATTTTCTTTCTTCTCCTCCTTTTTCCCAAATTCTTCTCTTGTTCTTCTTCCCTTTCCTTATTTCCTCTCTTTCATTTCCTTTTCGTCTTTACTTTTTTCATTTTGTCCTCTTCTATCTCACCTATTCATTATCTCTCTTTTTAATTTTTTATATTTTTCTTAAATTTTAATTATCTTCTCTTGACTAAAACTATGTTATTTTACTTTAAATTATTTTGTAGGTATAATTATAAAGATAATATATGGATTGAAGGTAATATTTCAAATAAACGAATAATAATTTTTTTCATTACTCCTAATATAATTGATGAAATTTTGTGTTTTGTAATTTTCAAGATACTTTTTTTTTTTGCCATAAATGAGGTATTTCAGTAATTAAAATGTAATTTTCAATTACAAATTGTGCTTGTTTTTATATATTATTATTGTGTATTAATTTTATATTTTCTTAAATACTTGTGAACTATTGATTTTTTTTTTTGTTATTATGTGTAATATAAATACTTTTTTAGTTTGTATTTATATATAGTGCATAATGGTATTTATATATAGTGCATAATGGTTATTTGTATAGACATTTTTTGTGGTTTTTTAATTTGTTGGAAATTTATTAAAATTTTCGTTTAAAATTTTTGTATAGTAAAATTATAAATTTGTTGTCATGTGTATAAGTTTAATTTGTGTATATGTATGCATTGCTCAATTATTTTTTTTAATAAATTTTATATATTATTGTCTTATTATCAAAGAAAAAAATAAGAGATATGTTTTTATTAAAAAAAAAAAACATTTGACACTGCATTGCAATGTCAAATGTGTTGGCTCAATGCACTCCAAGAGGGCGTTGAATTGGACTATCAAAAATTTCTTGCTATTTTCAACCACGTACAAAGCAAAAAATCAAAGAGAGTAAGAAAGAAGAGATTGTACAATGATTTTATAAAGATTTGGTTCAACCACTTAGAACTTAATCCTCTACCTTGGCTTCACTTACCATGGATTCATCCACACTCTCCACTAAAAGAACAAGGGTGGCTTAAAGGAGCCACTCAATCACTTTTACAAGAAGATGAGTTTTTCTCAAATTTCACCCCTTGGCAAGACAAATCCAAGAATCCTCACTACAGATTACTCTTGAAGGAATAATTACACCTCCAAGGTACCTCTCAAACAAAACAAATAGAGGATTACAAGCAAAGATCACTTAAAGATCAAAATCTAAAGTTAAAGCACAAGTTGGTAGGTAAGGGTAACAATATAAATGCCTAAAAATTATTTTAGATCTTTTACCAATCATATTTATACTCCTTGGTCGAGAATAACCATTTCTAGCCATTGGAGTTCATTAAATGCTCTACAAATAAGTTTTAACTCCAAGAAAACATGTTGCAGACTTTTGTCAATAGAGCCAACTCTACCTCCAAAACCAGCTTTCTTGCTTCTCCTGCACATTCTATTTTTCCAAAGAGCTGACTATAAAACAAAAAATGAGTTTAAGAAATCTGACTTCAAGAGATTAAAAAATCTTTAAAGAATTTAACTGTTGAGCATTAAATGCGCCATCATAACTGGCTGTAAAGTCAAAGTTAGCTTTACATCCATTTTCCGTGTGCACCAAACTACAAGTTTAAAATCTTTCACTCATAAAGTTGACTGCAATGTTTTAAGTTGGCTCTTTACATTTTTGAACACCAAAGCTGATTGTAGAATTGTAGAGCCAGCTTTCAACACTAATTTTATCATTTTTGGTCAATTTTTAGTGCAATCCAAGTTCACTTACTTTTGCAATCTTTTAGGCGATACACTACATATTTAGATGAACAAATTAATCATTCAAACATGTTTTGTAATCATCAAAATCTTAGGTACAACACAATGTTGTGTGTATGGTCAACACAAATATTTAAATGTTGATTGGTAATATATTACTACAATGTTAAATATGATATAACTGTCAACATTTAATTATTTGGATTGACCATTTCCATTTAGTTGACATCACATTGAAGTGTCATATGAACTATTTTTTTAAAGTGCAAATTTTTATAGTGTCAAATTTTTTTTAATACAAATTTATTTCACAATAACATTTGAAAGTTCTCGTACTATGTTAATTAATTTTTTGATATTACATTTTGGCTATTTGACACCGTATGTTACAGTGTCTTACGCTCTTTTTTTTAACGGTGTAATAAAGATTTAATGAATTGGTCTATCATATTTATCACAAAAAAATTTAATTGCTATAGAAGTTAAATATCTATTTATAATAAATTAACATATTAATATGCATTTAAAATAACTTTTATATTCATTAATTAAAAATTAATTTTAATCATAAATTAATATTATTATATTTAATAATTATTATAAAAAGTGTTGTATAAATTAATTGTATTATGTGTGATTTTAAAGCCTAGTAAAAAATTAAAAGAAATCTAAATTAATAAACATTTTTCATAGTATCAAAATAGATCACAAATCCAACAATCATCAAATTTACACTTTAAGTAAGAAATCATCAAATTTACACTTTAAGTAAGAAATCATCAAGAAATTGCATAAGTTTCCAAACAATTTGTTCATTAATATTGTTTCTCTTCTTCTTCTTATGCTCATTTCCCTTTTCTCTTATTTTTATTGAACAATTACAATGTTTCTAAATCCTTCCTCCTCTTCTCAAGAATTAGAGCATCAAAATACAAAAAACCACTACAATGTTCCAATGCCTCATCAAAAGAAAAGTATGATTGTGAATGGTATAAAGTTAAGAATTAGACTAAGATCCATTGTTGGATCCTACCTTTGGTTAAGCTATTTCTAAGGTGAGTAGGTTGTTAAATAGAAAAGATATATTTTCTCAACTTTCACTAGCATCTTTGGACTCCTAACGTTGTTGTCAACAACCACATCTCAATTTAGGAATTTTAAATGGAGGAAGGATTTAAAAACAGATTTCCTCTTCAATCGTCAAAGTTATCATTTGAATATATGCTACCACCATCAATATCTACATTGATGGCTGCTCTGCCTTAACTGGCACCTTGGGTTTTGCAACTATCACCATGCCTTCTTACTCATCAATGTTTGGCCCTTGCCCCCATGGCGGGGTATAGGTTCTGCACTTTAGAGCCATCCATTTTCAAGGCTAATTGGTTCGACAAGTGAGTTGTTACACACTCCTTAACAGATTTCGACTTCCATGACCATCATCTTGTTATCTTAATTGACCAACACCCTTTATGGATTTCAAGTTAGCACACAATTGGGCACTGCAACCTGACTTTTAGTTCATCCTACAATGCCAATTTTGCTAATTGAAAATGGCCTACTTAAAGCTCTTAACTCCATGGCACAACTCGACAAAGTAGCTACATTGTCTTACTTATTTAAAGTTTGAGAAATAGGTCAAGGGTGTTTTCCTCTCGATGATTCTAACCATTGGCTTTACTTGATATAACTTGATAAGAGCTCCAACTATCATGAGGAAAACTTTGGAAACAACCAGCCATTAGACAGTTGAATTAATCTTTCACCCGAATACCCAAGTTGGATGAATGATTTGCATACCAATATCACTTCGGGCCTTTACCAAAGTTTCCTTTGACTTCACTCCACTTATGCATAGTTCACCATCTTTTAGGTCTTGATAAGCATGCTCTCACTTAAACCATTCTCAAAAGATCAAGGTTACTCGGTGATGCACTGATGAGCTAAATTTATATACATATTAATAGGGAATTTTTACTTTGATATTATTGATATTTGGATGAGTTTTATGGGGTTTTGTTTGATTTTACATGATTTTCATTCTTTGTGTAGGAAAGGATTTAATAGGAAACAATCCTACTTTTTAGAAGTAAATTGAAGAGATCAAAGACTTGAGGATCAACTTGT